ACCAGATGCTCTAATCGCAAATATCTCGCCAGTACCCGGTATAGGAACAAGACGTGGAAAATGTTAGTTTAGTGAGCATATCAACAATAATAATAGCGATTATTTATTTCTCTCCATACTCCACTGTGTTTGGGTTGATAATCAAATGTAGGTAAACAATATCGTTGTTCGAGACAGAAAACCATTGCTGGCCGTGATTATTCAAAAACAAGTTCTCCATCCCGAGAATAACGAATGAAATACAGATCAAGCAAGTATCTGAATGTTGAAGGCTTTCCTGATCAAAATAAAAATATTCAACTATACCCTTGATTATATACACTAGTGTGAATACTCAAAGACTTTACTAAGGTTTTTGCTTTTGGGTGTATGATAAATTGACATTCATCATACAGGGCGTGGAAATGAATTCTGAATTGAGACTCTATCACGAATCTGCGATTAGAGGTCTATAAAAATCACAAGTTTCCATCGTTCAAGTTTGAACCACCTGATTGGGTATGAAAGTGTTATATAAATATATATCCATTTTTGTATGTTCATAATTTATCTGAGAATATTCCTTTTCAACACTTTACTAAGGTGTTTCTATATCTCCAGATTGGGTATGAAATGCCAAATCTGTCGAAATCAGAAACAAATCAGGTATGCGTCCCAACCCAAATAACCAACCATAACAATGTTGTTTATTCTAACCTAACCTAACCTGACCTCTATTACACCCTTTTCAGTTCCTAGGAGCTAAAGTTCCACTTTAGCTCCGAGTAACTGAAGTTCAACTTCAGCTCCTAGGAACTAAATGTGTTGCCTAGCAATACTTATACCTATTTTTGTGTCACTAATGAAAACGTCAATTCAAGAGCAATTTTGGGATTAAAACGGACGACTTTTGTGTCGGTTGCAAAAAAACAATTATTTTGGAAGGTATTGGATTTTGAAGTTCGCCTGGTATTTTTGTGGATTATATAAAACAACCAAAACCGAGCGTTTGCGCTCGGCGAAATGTGGTATGTTGAGCCAGTACATTTTTCATCAAATTATGTGTCATAATATAATACCCACTATCGGTTCAATGTGAATTCTAGGAGCGTATAATATATTTGTGAAGTTTTTTGCTCAACCAGAAAACGGAAAACGTATCCATCAAAAGATATTCCTTCCCAAGAGCATCCGGTAAATTTCACGGTCCTTGGATCACCTATGCGGGTCCTCGTTCTTATGACGAATAACTTTCCTAGTTTCCATGAATAATTCAGCTGGATACTTATACGATCCGTATAGGTGTATCCGAAACTAGTCGAAAACAACTTCGACTGAACGTTACCCATGCATCGAAATTCATTTTATGCTCATGAAATACGATGCTGAATTTTTTGAGCCTGATATATGGACATGCCGGGTGCAGAAAACGATTTTTCATCTCCATCTATTGCCCACTCGGCTTTCAATCGTTTTCAACAGTTATTAATGATGAAGTAAACTTTTGGATAGTGAGGAAATGATCAAATACGAAAATATGAGTACCCAGGGGCCAGAATACTATACAATGATACTCAGTATAACACAAATACTCACCATCCTCAGTAAAACTAAAGAGAAAATCAAAACTTCAATTGATAATAATAATAAAATAGTTATTTAACCAACTAGTGTATTAATCGCCTTTTGATATACAAGTTGGTTACAAAATTTTTCCTTCGACCATATTTCTCATTTCTCCTTCAATGAAGAAAACTTGGTTCGCGAATTCATCATTCATCCGGAAACTGCTAAGAATCACCCAGTAGCCTTGTTACTGACATTAGTGGCATTTGACATTTGTCGAAATGATCAACATACATGCAGAAAATAAATTCCTTGTTTTTGAAAACAGGGATTAAATCTTCGATGAAATCCATATTTTTGATTCAAAAGCAGATTCCGAAAGTTATAGCATAAACAATGAATGCACGAGGTGTATGTTTGGTTGCCTATAAAACAATCGTGCATTAATAGACAAATCGTTCATTAATAGAGGTCATTAATGAACGATTTCATATACATTTAACTTAGTCGTTAATACGAGGTCGGGTGAAAATTGTGCTAGATTCGTCATTTCAGGTGAAGTAGATTTGAAAGTTAGATAAGTTAAATAAAACAAACATAAATAACTTCAAACTAAACAGTTATACATCTGAAATACATAAAAAATGTACATGTTATACATTTGTAGATATTCCCCTATAGAATAGAAACATGTTGTCACTAAGAAATCCTTTATTGATCTTTTGTAACTATAAAACTGTAGGTATCATTTTCTTTCATCTCATCGGGTGATACATTATAAATTCGGGGAGCCACTGCTGAAGAAGAATCATAATGAATTTTCGAATTGTATTCGTACCTTTTGAATTATTTATCTTGAAGTTATTCCGATTTCCAAACACATAAAGACAGAATTCTAGAATCAACAATGATGGTAGATACAGGATTTTCAAGTTTTTCAAGTGGTCCCTACAAGAGGAGCGTTTTCATGTTCCTATATACGACTAAGCGTATGATACGTTTCTGTGCAATAAAAACATCTGATGATGCCATAGATAGGCCAAAGATTCGTACTCCGTATCTTAGTCTGGACTCTATTTGGGCATAATATAATTTCAGGAGTTGGTCACAATTAAGTTATGGTTTGAGATTCCTGAAATGATATGAGTTATTATTCAATTCAGATCGTAGTATTCGACAACTGAATATCAGAATATTAGAACGAAATTATACAGAGTGTTCCTGAAAATCTAATTCATATGTCAGGAGGCCATTCCTTGGCTTATTTTAGGACTCATTTTTCATATACATAAATTTCCTAATCCAAAACTCCATTTTATGTAAAAGTTATTATTCTGGAGCTTCGATTTCCTCTTTTTTATGATGAATTATTGATAAATCAAGTGAGAGCCGATTCAATTGTACATTCAGGAAACCCTTCATTAGAAATCGACAGTGGAGCATCCTCTAAGGACACCCAAACTTCCAACAACTCACAAAACTTTCTCGAAACACAACCGCTTTCGTTTGGCTTCATTACCGAAAAAGGGCTACGAGTAACAAGTTATTTATAGTTCATATATCCACATGAAATCATGAAGAATCACACTGATATCTTCGTATGTGCTCCAAACTAAACTCTAAAATTCGGCAATTTGGGGTTCAAAGTTGCTCGGGTTACTTCTCCCAGGTGTCATTTTCTCTCCGTTTTCATCTCCCTTGCGCGAGAGGCTGCGCTTAGTGCTTAGTGCCAGTGCCGTATCGATCATTTACATATGCTCCAAATAATCGTGAGAGTCATGGGACACACTTACTTCACCTTTTCCAATAGTATTCCAGAAAGCGTCAATTCGATTTCAGGAAAGTTCAATTGTATTTCAGAATAGCCACTTGTATTTCAGAAAGCATAAGATGTATTTCAGAATAGTCAATACAATTTCAGAAAGCGTCAATTCTATTTCAGAAATTCCCAGCGAGCACAAAAACATCTCAGAGATGTTAAAAGTACGAGATTTCGAAACATTGAACCTCCACTGCGATGTTTTGTTCACACATGAATAGAACTATTATAGAACAGCCAATGTCCGCCGCAGGCGGCAATTATCGAGATGTCCTTGATATGTCACAAAACTACCTTCTCCCTAGTTCGTTTTAAAGCCTTTTCATGGACACAACAAAACATTTTCAACGCGTCTTGCGCACATTAAATCGCTGTAAAAAAACCATATTCGAGGTACTTTTCTGAAGCCTTTTGTCAAAATGATCTTTTGCATTAGGATTCCATTTCCCTCGAATGAAATAATGCATCAAAAGTAGATTGAACATAAAATATTTTCTTGATATGAAATTACCTTCTCAATCGGTTCCTGAGTAGTGCTTACTACACACAGACATATAATTGGAAATAGGTTTCCCAATTTTTGAAATAATCTCCACAATGCATAATTTTGCAACTGCGGAGAAGCTGTGTATTGATAAATTCGTACCATTATATATTGATTATACTGAGGCACCGAACAACACATCATGCATCTGAAGGTCATTATTACAAACTAAATAAGTCTTCTAACACAATAAACTTCACCAAATCCCTTTCTGTTCGTTAGCAGCGTGCGAAAACAAATCAGAATTCATCGTATTGTGACGTAAGCATGAGACGTTGTGGTGGGGCAAACAAAGAAAGGGCACAAAAGAACAAAAACAATACTTTCAATATCCTTCTTAGACCTCTTTGGGAAGTGCATATGATGCCTCAAGAAAACATCCTCATGCCTACATTTCTAAAACATCCCAAAACATCCCAGGGATGCCTCTCAGTAGGCAAACAAAGAAATGCCACAGAAGAACAAAAACAATACTTCAATATCCTTCAAAGACCTCTTTGGTCAGTGCATATTACGTCTCAAAATAACATCTTCATGCCAACATTTTCAAAACATCCCAAAACATCCCAGGGATGTTTGCATGTGCTCGCTGGGTTGTCTTTTGAATTTCAATTGATATTTTCTGAAGTACAATTGATATTTTCTTGAATTCGATTGACTATTCCTAAATTCAATTGTAGAACTTCCAATTAGGCTGAACCATTGAAATTTGTGCAGATGACTTCGAGCATTCCTTCCTTCCTTCGATAAAATAATGATCTGAGATAGGAATTCAATTTTGTTTTCATGAAAGTTCCAATATCTAAGTCACAGATTAACAATAAGGTTTGTTAATCTGTGTCCAAGTCGTGAGGTAAAGTTGTGGTTGATAGATGAACTTCTTTGTCACCAGATAGAGTATGATCCAAGGTTTCACCGGACACACTGTAGCAGAATTGTAAGGTGCAAAACAAAGTATATTATGAATAAAAAATAGGATTAGGAACAGTTTAGACATATAAAAATGGAAAAATATGAAAGATGCATAAGTTCGTACATTGACATTGAATGAAAAAGGCATATTTTTCTGACAGTTCTCGAGAAATTACGTAAATGGCGGGTACAGATAAAGAATCAGAAACACAGACTGATGATATTCGGGCAGCGTCTCATGAAAATGTAACCCAAACTTGTAAACTTTCTGACAACCCTCAACAAAGCTACATTGGTAAAACACTACTCAATAATCTTCATGGAAGTGGCATCTACTTCTTAGAAAAACCGAACAAGAAAATCTACATCGATGGACTTTTTTATTGCAATAAACTCGAAGGTTATGGGCATGTTTTCTATGGAGATGGCTCTTCCTTTCAAGGGCTATTCAAGGATAACAGAAGATTTGGTCCTGGAGTATTTACGTACCCAAACGGTAATCAAGACGTCGGTATTTGGAATGGATTTTCATTAGTGAGGTTGAGTAGTCCTGTCCATGAATTCTTCCTACCAAAACTAGCAGAATCTGCTAGGGGATTAGCACAACTTTTAAGGTACAGGTATGTACTTCCAGTAGGTATGCCAGAAAGCTTTGACACAGTTGCCGAAATGCTGCGAATATTTAGTGCTAATGGAGTTATCATAGAAGACGCTCTAAAATTATATAATTCCTGTGTGAGAAACCGAAACAACATGTTCTTCAATACAAATTTGTTCGATAATTTATATTTTAACAGGGACCAGTTGAATAACTCACCAGATGAGCTAGAGAGAATTGAGGGTGAATTGGAGAAGATCGAGACCATTCTGGCTAACCTTCAAAAAGTGAAACCTGCCCTTTTCGAGAAGATACAGTACTGCAAAACCTGTTGCTATCAGCCTGAACGAATTGAAAGTAGAATATCTTCACAAAAATCTGGTAGTGATGTACCAAACTCATCTTTTAGATTTTCGAATGTAGATGATTTGAGATCAACTATGACTGAAACAATGACATTCGATGACACGGCGAGCTATGCTATTTCTGAAGGAATTATCAGCTTACCAGAGGAAATCGAGAAAATCTATCAGGGTACCTGTGTATGTGATGAAGAAATGGGTATTGAAGACTTGGCGTTTTTGGAAAAACAGTACGAGGATTTGATGGAAGAAGAACTATTTTATAATAATATCAGAAGAGGTTTGAGTGACAGACTAACAAGACACTCATTAGAAATAAGACACAATTCAATAACTCAATTTGAAACTGATGAAATCAAAGAAGTGTTAGCATGGAACAACGAGAAATTGATGATTGATATCTTGAAACATAGTTTCTTACACCGTAAGTCAGAAAACAGGCTAAATGTGAAGCTATCAGCAATATTCGAATCACAAAGATTCATTGAATTTTCGCACCGCGGGCATTATGAGTTGAATTGTGAGAATTTTCTGGCAGAATCTGGTTCAGGGTATTTTCCCAAAGTCATGGATCATTTGAGAAAGCCCAATGTCGATGTGAATGTGACCGATGCAAGTGGAAATAATGCTGTGTTTTTTGCTGCTGCGAATCATAATAGAGACATTATCCGAGTTTTAGTGAATTTTGGTGCAAACTTGAACCAAATCAACGACGAAGGACTTACACCTTTGAATATGTGTATTTTGTCATACCTAGCTGAACAGAACAAGATCGAAGATTGGGAAAGTGCTTTTCTACCTGAAGATTCTATTTGTTTGGACGAAATTGAACATCTCAAATGGTACCCCGGAATATCGATGAATATAAAAACAGGAGGAACTCTCAAATCCTCGAAACGAGGTAGTCTTACGCAGACTTATTTTTTCAATACTAAATATAGAGAAGAAGATACAACAGATAGTGAAAATGAGGTCGCTTCACATGGTTCGAAGAGAGACGATCTATTTAAAAATTATCCAGGAGATAGTACAATCATCAGCCTATTGAACTTTGGGGCTGATCCCAATATTGGGCATGTTCCATTTCCAGCTTTAGCGTTATCATTGTACACTGAAAATCATCACTTGGTCGAGAAGATTTTGGAATCTGGAGCTGATACTCAAGTCAAAACATCTGACGAAAACCTCACTTGTCTACATATCATGGCCAGTATAGAATGTAGCAAGCAGAATGTTGAAATTTGCTCTGTCTTGTTGAAATATGGCTGCGATCCAAATGTGAAGACTGATGAAGATCATTGGCGAGAACAAAATGTGAGAATAATGGGCAACTATGTGATTCCAGAAGAGTTTGAAGACACGGGGAAGAATCCTCTACATATGCTATGTTTGCGCAAGGATTTCAAAAAAGATAGTGACAACAATTTTCAAAATATGGCAAAGCTGTTCATCGACTCTGGAATCGATATCAACGATACTTACTTAGGACTGAACGCTTTAGAACTGGCTATATTATCAGGAAATTTGAAGTTGGTAGAGTTTCTCTTGAAGACAGGTCTCTTAGATCCCCACAGACTGATAGATCCTTGCATAGGAAATACTCTGACATTATTTTTGTCTGAGAGATTCAGAGATATCCTACCTCTTGATGAATGTAAACAGATGATAGAGTTATTAGTGAACTTTGGGGTGAACCCATTATACAAGGTTGGTGATTACGAAAATGTGATAGAGTTCATGGAGAGAGACGATGGCAATGCCAGAAGTAAGAAAGGAGAGGCTCCCAAGAAAGCCAATGAGACACAAATAACTTTGAAAAACCTCCTGAAGAACCTGGCAAGAAAAATGATATTGAAAGATATTGGTGTCAAGGCAGTGGAGTATCTGTACAACCTAGCTGAAGCTGATCTACTAGATAACGAAGGAGTCCAAGTTTTAGCGGAATATTTAACGACGGAACAGTTTCTCGAAAATCTTAAAGTTATATTCGAACATGGTAAAATCCCAATCGATAGATTTGATACAATGATCTGCCAGAAGGTATTAGATTTTGTTAGGAAGAATAGGAAACAGCCCAAGACAAGTAAGAAGCAAAAAAGTAAGCTCCAACTTACAAAATCTGACCTAAATAATTTTAATTTTGATAGTCTCCTTGATTCAATCAGAATAGATTTGAAACATAGCCGTAGTAACGTTAATCATGAAGTATGTTTCCAATGCTTGAAAAGTCATGAGAAGACTTTGACCAAGTGTCCTAAATGTGAGTTGTTATATTTTTGTTCAATCCAGTGTAACAAAGCCAATTTGAAACAAAAAAATAACGAGCATGTATGTGCTTTAAACGTTTTTGAACATACTGGTGAATGGGTAACTGATGTAGTTGGACTGATAGAACTTTGCAAAAAAGCTGAGTATAAGAACCAAATGACATATCTGGAGAGGAAACGGAAGCAGGAAGACTTAAGACGAAAAGAGGAAGAGGATGAGAGGAGGAAAGATATATATGGATATAGAAACTCGCATAAAGCATTCGTTAAATCGAGCAAATGTCCAGTTAGTCGCAATGAAAATTGTAATAGAAAAAAGAGTGATGATCGATTGCAATATGAGCCTTCAGCTATATCTTCAAAGTCTGGTAAAGCTAGTACTCTTGTTACTGCTAGTAATTTGAGTACATCGTTGAGTATTGCATTAGATGAAAAACTACAAAGATTGAGTATGGTTGAAAAACTCGCAGAAAAAGAAAAAGTGAACAAGAAACATAAAATTACTCAGTTTTCTAAAAGAAAAATTCAGAAGCTGGATCGCCCTAATTGTGGATCATCAGCTTGTATGGTAGCTAGAAATGGTAAAGAGATTATTTCTCGATTCGAAGTCCTGCCCAACCTGGAGGAACCATATATAACTGCAAGAAAAACTACAAAGAAACTTCCTGAGAGAACGAAGTTTTTCATAGAGCTGCTCAAAAACTATTTCCCGAATGTAGATTTGTCTTTTCTTATAGTACCATACATTTGTTATGCTGATGGTCACTTGTACTATCAGTTTTCTGACGAAAACCAATGTGAAAATTATAGCATGACATGATATATAAATACGAATCAGTCGTTACGAATTGTGAAAATGGATTAACACAAATTATTTGTTGAACGTAACTCTATATTTCGTAAACACATATTCCATCCACAGCGTATATTTCACTTTGCTAGATATATTTCAGCTCTGGTTGATAGATGATAAATAGCATTGTGTCATGATCTGTGAAATTCGTTCTGTGAATTCATTGAAACGTACAGTCAAAATACAAATAACATTTCGCGGTTGGATGGTATAGAGTACGTAGTAGTTTGAAAAATTTTTTTGGGGGGGGTTATGTTATTTCGAAAAAATTCCTGGGGAACACATGTGATAGTCATATTTGAGAAATTTGAAGAAGGGAGCCGAATTCTCAAAAAATGCGCCGCAAGCGAAATGTTTACGTTTTTAAAATTCATTTATATCGAATCGAACGTTATTATTTTGGGTCACAATAATAACCAAGAAGTTGGTGGATACATGGGTGCCACCAGAAAAAAAAATTTAAGGAGCTTTTTTTTCAATTGAAAGCATTGAATTGAATTGATCAATTTTCACTAAAAGGGTGGTTCAAAAATATTATGGAAAGTATATAAATAAATTAGGTTTTCAAAAAATCATCGATTTCTTTTAGACAAAACACCTACGTGAAAACAAAAATATCACAAAAATAAAGGAAATACGGCTGACAGATCCAAATTGATGGCCTCTTGGAATACATATTATTCCATCAAAGTACCTATGAAATAAACTAACTAAAGGAAACATATTTCGTAAGAATAATAAACCTAATCTTAGAAAAATATAGGTACTGTTAACAAAAATTGAAACTGTCATTGAAACTCTTTGGTGAATCAAATTGAATTCAAATGAACTTCATATTAAAAATGTATATACAGTGTGACCCATTTCTAATGGAAACACCCCTGTATCTTACATAATCGTTGGGTTAGGATCCTGAAATTTGCTGGAGCGAGAGATATACCAAATATGCACTCTATGACCAAGTGGGGTCATCTTCAGTGATATACACTGCTCGCCAACAGCCATGGAACCATCCCAATTTCCGGAAAATGATATTGGGGGTCGAAATAGGTTGAAAATCACTTCGGATTCGGAATCAGGACGCCCAATTCACTACCTATTCATTGTCTTCCTAGAAAATTTTCAGTTCAGAAAAATCAAATTTTGTCTCACTCCTCATGGAAGCACCCCCGTATCTCACGTAATTATTGAGGTAGGGTTCTGAAATTTGCAGGAGGAAGGGAAAGTCCAAAGATGAAGTCAATTACGTAAGATACGGGGGTGGTTCCGTAAAAAGTGCGACAAAATTTAATTTTTCAGAACTGAAAATTTTCCAGGAAAAATATGAATAGTTAGTGAATTGGGTGTCCTGATTCCGAATCTGAAGTGATTTTCGACCTATTTTACTCCTAATATCATTTTCCGGAAATTGGGGTACCTATTAAATAATTATAGCAATATGCATGTATAGATAACAAAAATATACAAAATCAAACAATGGGTCAGACGGAAACGTAGTCAAATTGCTTGGGGTTCATCTACCATCTATCAACATCAATTGAGGCATACATTGAGGCAGCTGAAGGGTAAATTGACTGATGAATATCTCAGGGTGTCTTATCTTTCAATATTTCATTCGGTAATGACATACGCCTTGATAGTGTGGGGTGCAGCAACTTATTCTACAAACATTTTTATTAAAAAAAAAAGTTCTGTATAGGTAAAATGTCTTTATCAATTCATCATTATTTACCTATAGGTTCAAAAAGGCATACTTCTCATTAGAGGAAATCCTTGAATAGTGGTAATTTCTCAGGTTATAGTGGTGGAAAAATAATATTTTTAGCACATAATACGAGTATTGAAAAACGTCTGTGCACGAATGAGAAGTACATCGTTGAATAGACATTTTGGTACTCTTTTCAGATATGGGAAGAAATTGGGAAATCCAACTGTATAGGGTGTTGTTTTCGGGCAAAAATAATTTGTAAATATTATTTGAAGCCGGACCTGGATTTTTTCATTTGTTGGTGCCTCAATCAATTCGACAGGATAATATTGAGGCCCATTTACAATGGGTTTTCTGAAATCACATCAGTGATCCCCGTCCACAGTTGAAATATTTACCTTTCCCAATGAAACACCCTGTATAGTGGCTTTACCAACGATAAGGTAAGTGGAGAATTACTATTTTCCTATCTCCTTCAAGCTACTGTTCCCCTATTCCCGTTTTCTTTGTCTTTACGGATGTTCATTATCATTTTAACTTTGCCCATTCTATTACGTGCTCTGCCTTTGAAATACACGCGCCTTTTCATCTAGCAGGACCATTTTCGCATATAACTCGTTAGTTGATTCACATAGCCGGTGTTAAGTGGTAACAAATTGGCTTTGAAATTCGAATTCACCCGCAGTTGATTATTCTCTTTCATTAATCAAAGATCAGACGAGAAGGAAGAATGAGTATATACTTCGAAGGATTCAAGCATTGAACGGTTGATTTATTTTGTTCTTGATTTACCAAACAAGTTGGCCGAAAAGGTTATATTATGGGGATGCCAATAAATGTTTTCATTCAGTTAAACTCAAATGACATCTTTCATTAACAAATGCTGAAATGATAAAATAATTGTAAATAGGTACATACATTATAAAGAACAAGTCGTATAAGCTACTTTATATCTATAAGTATTACATATCTCCTTATGTTCTGTTCATTAGTGACACGATCAGAATAGATATTTTTTCAGATTACAAAACGAACAATACGATTTCGAAATTATGTGGCTCAAACAGCTAAACGGAAGATCCTGTAGTATGAAAATGGCACATCTGATAATTTCATGAGGGCATTTTTTTAATACCAATAGGGTTGTGAACACTATGACTACACACTAGTCGAATTTACGACACGTAATATCAATTTTATATTGATTTCACCATGAATTGATAGTATTTGAAACAGTCAATCATTATTAAAAATTATAACAAATATTTTTTTCGAAAACACTAGCTCTAAATGACGTGATATACCGATAAGCATAATATATGCACATTCCACATGTAGGAATGAGAATTTACTTCCACAGTAGGATTATATTGAGTCATAAAGATGACTAGATTGTAACCGCAGTAATGGGCTTATATCACAAAAAATTTTCATTTCATAATTCGATACAACTCACCCAAACTAGCTCACCACCGCAAACCGTTTCTTGCTGTGAGCTCCCTACGTTTTATAAAAAATTATTGGAATCCCCGATTTTCCGGACCTCTGAAAACGAGGCGATGATGTGACGTCAAAACCCTAATACTGAAACAAGACTATTCCAGACAGAGATGAATGATACATGATTTCTGACAGAGTGAATTAGCGCGAGATCACAGTACGAATTACTATATCAGTTGCCTCAGTCTCCGTCGGGCTTTTGTTATTTTCTTTTAACTATGGCGAGATGAGGTATCTACGTCATAAGAGGGTCCGTTTTCAGAAGGTACTATTATTTATGTTCAAGAATAAAACATTCCAGTTAATTTTTTGATCGAATTATGTAGTCAATCATTATTTATGTATAAAAGGATCATTATAAACATGGTTTGAGTTGAAAGTTCTACTATGGTGTACACGCCCATTGGATGTCACGAATATTTTTTTTACTACTGCTATGAGAAGTAGCACATTTCTCATAGCTTACTTAGTTTCAAAACCATATTACACTCGTGAGAAAAGTTGAACTTTCCCCACTTGTTGCACAATATACTATTTTCTACTACTGCTATGAAAAGTAGCGCATTCCTCATAGCTTACTTAGTTTCAAAACCATGTATTGCCCATACTGTGAGAAATATTTTTTCTTACGGCACTTTGCCAACACCACATACATTTCCATGGAGAATCAACAAAAATCTACCAAAACTTGGCTGCTGTTCAGCTTTGAATAGTTGTCACAAATGTCAGAAGTTTTTTAAATTCTTTAGGGTAGTTCTCGTTAGTGTTTTTGATAGAAATCGCTTTATCCATCAAATATTGTTCCAACAATTCATAATAAATAATATGATGTATATAACGATATGTGACGATTTTGATAAATACACCGCGAGAGACAGAGATAATGGAAAAAGCTGCAAAATTTGGATTTGTTTCCGGAAATTTCAAGAAAAAAGTATGTATTGGCATATTGGTACGAAAAATTTATGGAATCTAAGAAAATACAGAGATAAAATCTTTTTCGGAAAGTGTACTTTTTTTAAATACTTTGAGGAACTAGGAAAGGTGCCTACTCTTTGGTCACAATTCACAATATTCAAAGTGGCATAGTGCCACATTATAAAATGGATACCAATGAGTTACATTACTCGGATTCTTTGAATAAGTGCAGATGTAGAAAAAGTATAGTGTGCAACATGTGGTGAAAAGCACTTTTCCCACTTGTTGCACAATATACTATTCCAATATGCACATATCTATTTGATTATTTTTATCACATGCCAAAATGTGACGTTTTTTCAACCAATATTTACCAGTATATCACCAGTATATCACCTGACGAAGCTACTGTGTTAGCGAAACATGTTGTGTGTTCAAGAATTCTGTGGAAATCTTATCGTTTGTGAAGTTTTTACATCAACCAATATCGATGCGTAATTCTAGCTAATTATTTGGTATTATACTGATAATTTCTCAGTAGCAGGCTACAGCGATAATTTTTCCACGTTTGGATCTTCATAAAGGGGCACATTGACTGCATTGTTGGTAATCTTTTTTGTTAGATGAACAAGTCTGTTCGATTAAAAATGACTCAAAACCTAAGTCGTGTGTGGCTGTAAAATGTTCGTTTTCGCTGGGCCTTTTTGCGAAATAGTCACGCCGAATTACATTGGTGATGATATATTTTATTAATAATTCAAATGCTCATCTAATTATAATTATAAGAAAAAATTCACCACTTGTGTAATTACTATTGACAATTTCATGAACAACTCTCTAAGCGTTCAAAGTCCCTTCACTGCTTCCTTGATGAAATGCCTCGTTTTTTATTGCGTCGGTGACGAATTTTCCATTTCCTTGCCATCGTTTTTTTCAGTTAGTTAAACACGTGCCCAACATGCCAAATAGAAAATTGGAACTGCCTCACATTTATCTCCCCGAGCAAGAATTCCTTTGAGGGCAACTCTCGTAATTTAACGGTTACTGCTACCATTTAGACTTCATCAACAGCCCGCGACTGGAATAAGATTATTGAAAACTCGCAGCCTGCATTATTTCCAGAATAGATAAGTTGGCATAAATCAGGTAGTGTGAAAAAAAGTTTTTGCATTACAGAGGAGAAATGATCTAATGTTTTTGCAAGAACATGTTTCAATTGTGTTTTCTCACGCACAATTCTTGACTACTGAGAGCGAGGAAAATATGGACGCATCCAGAATGAATTGTT